CGAAAAAAAAAACGAATTTAGCTCAAATTTCATTTCAGTTCAGTTTGACTCATTTCATTTTAGCTTTTTGTTATCAAAAACGAAAAATCTAACATTAAAAGGCAAGGTTTTTTGTAGTGCCATTGGAGGTTGTTGAGAAAGGGCAAAGGGAGGTAACATTCTTTAGGCGAATTTTTGGTTCCAGGGGAAAAAAGTAGAGTAGCAGGTAAAAAATGGTTAATATTCAAAATATGAACACATCCATTTGTTGATATTGTTCTATAATGAACAAATAATTTGTATAATTTATAAACAAAATTTTTGTCGATTGTCACGACGTGACAATTGTGGCAAATAAGGCTCAGGAATTTCAATGACTGTTTGTTTACAAGTCAGAAATATTTGGAGGAAATTGCGTTTTTATTTCTTCATTGAACATGAAATTGAGGGAGGATTAAAGGCAATGATGTCATGGCAATGGGAAATTCGCATGGCAAAAAAAAAAAAAAAAAATTATTGAAATCTCTGTAGGTATCTGGAATTAAGATATATAAGTGGTTTCGGAAATGTGTACTGAAATTGTACTAAATTAGGCATTGAGTGAAGGGAAGCGGGCATCTCGAAATTTGATATTGAGGTCTTTGTTGGTATCTGGAATTGAGATATGAAGGTGATTTCGGAAATGTGTACTTAAATTGTACTTAAGACCACAAGGTGGTCATCTTCTATAGAAGACCAGCAGGTGGTCATCCTCTATAGAAAACCAGCAGGTGGTCTTCTCCTATAGAAGACCATCAGGTGGTCTTCTTCTATAGAAGACCATCAGGTGGTCTTCTTCTGTAGAAGACCATCAGGTGGTCTTCTTCTGTAGAAGACCATCAGGTGGTCTTCTTCTGTAGAAGACCATCAGGTGGTCTTCTTCCATAGAAGACCATCAGGTGGTCTTCTTCCATAGAAGACCATCAGGTGGTCTTCTTCCATAGAAGACCATCAGGTGGTCTTCTTCCATAGAAGACCATCAGGTGGTCTTCTTCCATAGAAGACCATCAGGTGGTCATCTTCTAAAAAAGACCACAAGGTGGTCTTCTTCTACAAAAGACCACAAGGTGGTCTTCTTCTACAAAAGACCACAAGGTGGCCTTCTTCTACAAAAGACCACAAGGTGGTCTTCTTCTACAAAAGACCACAGGCTGGTCTTCTTCTACAGGTGGTCATCTTCTACAAAAGACCACAAGGTGGTCTTCTTCTACAAAAGACCACAAAGTGGTCTTCTTCTACAAAAGACCACAAGGTGGTCTTCTTCTATAGAAGACCATCAGGTGGTCTTCTTCTATAGAAGACCATCAGGTGGTCTTCTTCTATAGAAGACCATCAGGTGGTCTTCTTCTATAGAAGACCATCAGGTGGTCTACTTCTATAGAAGACCATCAGGCGGTCTACTTCTATAGAAGACCATCAGGCGGTCTACTTCTATAGAAGACCATCAGGCGGTCTTCTTCTATAGAAGACCATCAGGCGGTCTTCTTCTATAGAAGACCATCAGGTGGTCTTCTTCTATAGAAGACCACCATCAGGTGGTCTTCTTCTATAGAAGACCATCAGGCGGTCTTCTTCTATAGAAGACCATCAGGTGGTCTTCTTCTATAGAAGACCATCAGGTGGTCTTCTTCTATAGAAGACCACCATCAGGTGGTCTTCTTCTATAGAAGACCACAAGGTGGTCATCTTCTATAGAAGACCACAAGGTGGTCATCTTCTGTAGACGACCACAAGGTGGTCGTTTTCTGTAGACCGCCATCAGGTGGTCTTCTTCTACAGAACATCATCAGGTGGTCTTCTTCTATAGAAGACCATCAGGTGGTCTTCTTCTATACAAGACCAGCAGGTGGTCTTCCTCTATAGAAGACCAGCAGGTGGTCTTCCTCTATAGAAGACCATAAGATGGTCTTTTTCTATAGAAGACCATAAGATGGTCTTTTTCTATAGAAGACCAGCAGGTGGTCTTCCTCTATAGAAGACCATAAGATGGTCTTTTTCTATAGAAGAAAATGAACTGGTCAGTTTTATCGAAAGCCATCTGGCGGTCTTCCATAAAAGTACATCTGCTGGTGATATGTTAGGCCACAAATGCAAATCTAATTCAAGCTAATTCATCCAACATTTTCTGCCTTGCTTAAAATTTATGTATCCCCTCAAAGAATATTCTGAAAAAAAAAAAAAACATTTTCCCTCAACAACAACTTTCTTCTTTCCCGACATATGCAAAGCCAGACATAAACATAAATATTCCCAAACACCATGGACATTATCCAGCTTTTAATTAAATGTTTTCCTTATTTCAATTTCGCAGAACAAAAAAAACGAAGAAACAAAGAAGGCAAAAAAAAAAAAAAAAAAAAAACGATTTAAAACAATTACATTGAACATAAATTTATGGCTTCGGGGAATAGGGTTGCATGTCTTCGGATCATTCCAACAAAATCGAATGGACAACAAGCGTAGACAGTTTTCCAGCATCTGGGAACCAAAAGAAACCAAAAACTAACTTTTTTCAAATACTTCCTTCTTGGACCGAAAGCAAAATGTGTTTGGTTGCATGTATCCAGAATACAATTCTCTCTAAACATAACAAACTGGGACCTTAGAATTCAAACTAACCATTTGGTGTTCTAAGGTAAAGACTGCAAACACACCATGACATTGACTTAAATCAATCGCTAACTTAAATCTAAATGGCTAACAGGAAGAGGTTAAGTCACATATCGTTAGAGGAAAAAATTCGAAGCTAAGAACACACACACATACATAAGCCTCATGAAAGCCCGCAAGATATATGCAAACATATGCCAAAGATATGAAACATAAAAATTCATTATGTCGTCATTCTTTCGGAGTGGAGGACTCATCTCCCACAACACACCACCACCCATAAAGAATTATTTTATTGGCTGGCTATTGCATAAATTTCGGAATTATGTTTATTTAAATATGCATATGTTTGAAAAAAAAAAACAAGTAAAAAAGCTGTAAGTTCGGCCGGGCCGAACTTTTAATGCCCTCCACCATTTGGTACAAATTTGGCAATTTCGAAAAAAAAAAAAAAAAAATAAATAAATAAATAAATAAAATCCGTTTAAAATTCTGTTAAAATCTTAAAAATACCGAATGCCTATACGACGACGTAGACCTGCATAGGCAACTTTTGTCATAAGTTATTACAATATTTAAATGCGAAACTTGAAGAAAAAATCTTTAGCTAAAATCATCAAAATACCGAATATAGGGGGTACCGTTATATGGGGGCTATACGAAGACGTGAACCTGCACAGACAATTTTCTGGCATGGGCTGAAGTATCCATTACGAACTTCACATGCGAAATTTGAAACAATCCCGGTAAATAATGTCGCTTAAATCATCAAAATACCGAATATCGGGGGGTACGGTATATGGGGGCTATACGAAGGCGAGGACCTGCACGAAAAATTTTCTGTTTTATGCTGCAGTATCTATTACGAACTTCAAATACCAAATTTAGAACGATTCCGTTAAATAATGTCGCTAAAATTATCAAAATACCGAATATCGGGGGGTACCGTTATATCGGGGCTATATGAAGACGTGGACCTACATGGCTCATTTTTTGACTTAGGATGTAGTATCCATTACGAACTTCAAATACCAAATTTGAAACGATTCCGGTAAATAATGTCGTTAAAATCATCAAAATACCGAATATCGGGGGGTACCGTTATATGGGGGCTATACGAAGACGTGGATCTGTACAGATAATTTTCTGTTTTATGCTGCAGTATCTATTACGAACTTCAAATACCAAATTTGGAACGATTCCGTTAAATAATGTCGCTAAAATTATCAAAATACCGAATATCGGGGGGTACCGTTATATGAAGACGTGGACCTACATGGCTCATTTTTTGACTTAGGATGTAGTATCCATTACGAACTTCAAATACCAAATTTGAAACGATTCCGGTAAATAATGTCGTTAAAATCATCAAAATACCGAATATCGGGGGGTACCGTTATATGGGGGCTATACGAAGACGTGGATCTGTACAGATAATTTTCTGTTTTATGCTGCAGTATCTATTACGAACTTCAAATACCAAATTTGGAACGATTCCGTTAAATAATGTCGCTAAAATTATCAAAATACCGAATATCGGGGGGTACCGTTATATCGGGGCTATATGAAGACGTGGACCTACATGGCTCATTTTTTAACTTAGGATGTAGTATCCATTACGAACTTCAAATACCAAATTTGGAACGATTCCGTTAAATAATGTCGCTAAAATTATCAAAATACCGAATATCGGGGGGTACCGTTATATGGGGCGAAGACGTGGATCTGTACAGATAATTTTCTGTCTTAGGCTGTAGTATCCATTACGAACTTCAAATGCCAAATTGGAAACAATTCCTGTGAATAATGTCGCTAAAATCATCAAAATATCGAATATCGGGAGGTACCGTTATATGGGGGCTATATGATAACTTGGACCTACATGGCCCATTTACGAACTTAACCTGACTACTGGCAAAATATACATGTGTGCAAAATTTTAGCCTTCTATCTCAATTTGTTCGAAAGATAGCGTGATTACAACAGACAGACAGACGGACATGGCTAAATCGTCTTAGAATTTTACGCTGATCAAGAATATATATACATTGTTGGATCTGACATGATTATTTCGAGGAGTTACAAACGGAATGACAAAATTAATATACCCTCCATAGTATGGTGTAGGGTATAAAAATATGAGAAAGATTTAGGATAGAGCCTCTCACAGTGGTCTGTAAGAATTTTGTAAGAAAGGTGCATAAGGACTTCTTATACGGCAACCTTTCCATACAATGTGGGAAAAGCAAAGATTCGTCCTCTATAGCATGGAGATGATTTATATGTGATTTCCTTATGATTCCGAATGTGATTCATATGCGCTCCACACATCTTAGCCACTATTATAAGCTCACTGTATTTTAAAAACTCACCTATTGTTCTGATACACCTCCACCGATGAATTCAACTCAGCCAATTGTTCTTTGAGCAATTGTAAATTGGAATTGACAAAACTTAGCTCCAGGGCAACGGTATCACGTAATTTACGATTTGTGGTTGCCTGTTTTGAAGGGAATAAATGGAAAATTAAAACAATTAAAAAAACATTTCATTTTTAAATCCAAATTAAATGATTCAATTTAAGATGCGATGCCTTCGAACGTACCTTATAAAGGTTTTCAGCACCGGCCCGCAATCGTAACTCTTTGTTGATTTCCTGATTCAATTTGCAGCGACGTGTCTGTAATTTACCACGGCAGGTGGCAGCACGGGGATCAGAACCCTGAAAGAAATAACAAAAATAAAAACAAAAACAAAAATAAGTTAATTTTGATATTGAATCGGGTTTTAGTTGAAATATTTTAAAAAGGAACATGATAAGGCATTCTTGGAATAATGGAAAGTTTTCGGCAGAGGGGAATTACTTAAAGATAGGAAGGTAAATACAATGACAAGTATACGTCATTCCACACAGAGATTAATAAAAGGCAGTAGTGCTATCTGGTGTCGCCAATACCGTAGTTATTTAGCATTACATTTTAGATTGAATGAATCAATAAGTTAGCAAGTCAGGTTTTTAGGTTGAATGATGCTCTGATAAGGGTCTACCCTTTTTAAACCCTCCACCATACATAGTATGGAGGGTATACTAAGTTCGTCATACCGCTTGTAATTCATCGAAATAATAATTTAAGACCCAACAAAGTATATATAGGATGAGATAAAAAAACTGCAACCAACTTCAGACTGCTGTCCATTCTAAGCCACTCGTCCGACAGCTGTTAAAATTATTCCAGTGACAGCTTATTATATTGTTTTCAAAAAATACCACAGCCAAAAATACCGCAGAGTAACATGCGGGCAGCGTTTGACGGTTTCATTGGCCGTTTGAAGGCCATAATTCGTGCCAAAGGTGATCAATTCGAAAAAATCTATTTCCGACATTTTTTGCTTTCATTCAATAAAATTGAAAAAAAAAAAAAAAAAAATAAAATTATGGCGTTTGATTTTGTTGCAGTTTTTTTATCTCATCCTGTATATTCTTGACCAGCCTAACTTTCTAAGACGATTTAGCCCTGTCCGTACTGTAAAAAAAAGATAGGAAGCTAAAATCTGGCAGCGATATGTCTTTTACCTGCAGGCTGGTCAAGTTCGAATATGCGAATATGTCTATAAATCTTTTGTGTCTCGTACCATCGCTCGTTACCGTAGACCGACGTCAAGGAAGTGGACGGAAGAAAAAAGCAACATCAGCAGAAATGGTTTGTAAAGTAAAAGAAGTGACTTGATCGAAACCAGCGTCGCAGTGGCCGAAAATGGGCTCATGAGCTGAAAATATCGCAATATGCCATTCGGCAAATATTGAAGGATTAGCTTGGGGTAAAGCCATTGAAATTCCAAAAAAATGCAAAAACTTACACCGCAACAGAAAGAAAATAGACTCAAAAGAGCCAAAGAGTTGCTTCGCTTGACCGAAAGCGCAGAATGGCCACCAAAATCTCCGGATACCAATACGTGCCGGGAATATTTGAAAAGTAAGGTTGACATCACCTCAAGCTAGCGCTTCGCCGGGAATGGGCCAAAATACCGCAGAGCAAGTTTCGGGCAGCGTGTGGCGGTTTCATTGGCCATATGAAGGCTATAATTTGCGGCAAAGGTGACTAATTCGAACAAATCTAAACTATTCTAAAATGTGATGCTATTTCCGAAATTTTTTGATTTCATTCAATAAAATTTAAAATTATGACTTTTGACTTTTTTGCAGTTTTTTTTTATCTCACCCCGTTGGATGGCCAAATTTTTCAATGGAATTGACTTAAAATTCACAAAAGCAGTACCTTGTGAGTACATTACACCCTGGAAAAGAATTGTCTACATAGGTCTACGAGATCATATATCCCCGTTATTCACCGGAATTGTTTCAAATTTCGTATATAAAGTTCGGAACGTCTTCGTATAGCCCCCCACATATAACGGTTTTCATTTGAACGGTATTTTTTGGCGGATTTTTTTTTTTTTTGAAAATTTTAAAGTTTCTACCATATGGTGGAGGGTATAAAAAGTTCGACCCGGTCGAACTTTGCAGCTTTTTTACTTGTTGATCCTCACGTGAGAGAAATCAACTTTATCTGAGAATATTATCAGATCTTCTATAAAAAAATCTATCGATTTTTACGAAAATATGTATCGATTTTTCATGCCGTTCTTCTAGGGACACATGAATAGTTCCACAGATCGATTCATGAGGAAATCCAAAGTTCTTATATGAGAGAAAAATATAAATGTTTTCTCAGATCTTCTATAAAATATAGATCTTCTATGAGAAAAACCTTTGATCTTCAAGAGGATAATGTAACCATATTTAGTGAAAAATTAAATCTATCTTTTGTGAAAAGATTTGGCAATTTTCGATCAGTCCTTTACCCAAAAGGGCAAAGAGAAGACCAATCCACCTTCTGTCAGTACATCATCTGATATTCTATGAAAATATGTCTTGATTTTCTATCAGGAAATTTGCCGTTCTTTAATAGGAAAATATTCTGATCTTCAATGAGTAGATCCATTTATCCATGTATTTCCCATGAGAAGATATTTCGATTTCTTATGAGAAGATTAATCGATCTTCTTTTAAAATGTCGATCCTTGTAAAAATCAAAGCTATTACAGAATATCCTTCAATTTTTGTTGTGTGGTGTGTTATAAGAGGATTCAGCGAGTTTTGTTGTGTTATCTTCTATAGGAAAATCCATTGACTTTCCACGAAACAAAAATTGTCGATCTTCGGTAGACAGGTTCCTGGATTTTCAATAACAAGATCGATCGGTTTTCGGTTAAGAAGATTCGGCCAACTTCTGTATGAGAAGATACTATTATTTTTGAGCAGATTTATCGATCGATATCTGTTACTCTTTTGGACGAGGTTTTTTGACGATTTTCGGAACATCTATGAATTTTCTGTGCGAATATCTTCAATGATTTTCTTTCTGCTTTTGATTTCCTATAAGATATTCTGCAGAAGATGATTCCCTAGAGACCTTATCACTTAGATCTACAATATGTTTTCCCACTTTTACCCACTAATTTCTTCGTTTATTAAGCTATACCAACCGATAAGATAAGATGCCACATAGGCCGTGCAATGAAAACAATTAGCATTCGTTAAGATGTTCCGCATTTTTAATCGTTGCGTAGGTAACGCTCGTGTGGGCTAGGTGGGCAGCAGAAGGCTGGTTACAAGCCATAACCATATTAAACATGTCATTGAATATTAAATAGAGAATTAAAAAACCACCAACAACAACAAAAGCAACAACAACAACAACTTCTTCTGACATGCATCATGGCATCATTGTCATCATCATCGTCAACAGCAGCATCACCGCAAAGGCGTTTATATGCCATTCCTTGCCGTTGTTATTATTCCTGCCTTCATCAGTTATTCCAAAAACGAAAGAGGCAAAAAATATTTGCCCAAGAAAATAAGAGTACGAGTAGGGAAAGAAGAGAAGAAGAAAAAAACAAGTAAAAAAGCTATAAGATCGGTCGGGCCGAACTTTGAGAACCCTCCACCATTTGGCAATTTTCAAAAAAAAAAAAAAGAAAATCCGTTAATAATTCTGTTAAAATCTTAAAAATACCGAATGTAGCCTTTATATTAGGGTCTATACGACGTCAAATACGAAACTTGAAATAAGGTGAATAATGTCGTTAAAATCATCAAAATACCGAAAATTGGTAGGTACCGTTATATGGGGGCCCTGCAGAGATCATTTTTTGTCTTAGGATGTTGTATTAATTACGAACTTCAAGTACCAAATTTGAAACAATTCCGGTGAATAATGTTGCTAAAATAATCAAAATACCGAATATGGGGAGGTACCGTTATATGGGGGCTATACCAAAACGTGGACCTGCACAGACAATTTTCTGTCATAGGCCGTAGTCTTCATTACGAACTTCAAATACCAAATTTGAAACAATTCCGGAGAATAATGTCGCTGAAATCATCAAAATACCGAATATTGGGAGGTGCTATTATATGGGCGCTATACGAAGACGTGGACCTTTACAGACAATTTTTTGTTATAGGCTGTAGTGTCCATTACGAACCTCAAATACCAAATTTGAAACAATTCCGGTGAGTAATGTCGCTAAAATCATCAAAATACCGAATATCGGGAGGTATCGTTATATGGGGGCTATACGAACACGTGGACCTGCGCAGACAATTTTCTGCCACAAGCTGTAGTATCTATTACGAACTTCAAATATCAAATTTGGAACAATTCCGGTGAATAATATCACTAAAACTATCAAAGTACCGAATATCGGGAGGTACCGTTATATGGGGGCTATACGAAGACGTGGACCTGCACAAACAATTTTCCGTCTTAGGCTGTAGTATCCATTACGAACTTCAAATATCAAATTTGAAACAATTCCCGAGAACAAAGTCGGTAAAATCATCTAAGTACCGAATATCGGGAGGTACCATTATATGGGGGCTATACGAAGACGTGGACCTGTACAGACAATATTCTGTCTTAGGCTGTAGTATCCATTACGAACTTCAAATACCAAATTTGAAACAATTCCGGTGAATAATGTCGCTAAAATCATCAAAATACATAATATCGGGACGAATCGTTATATCGGGGCTATACGAAGACGTGGACCTTCACAGACAATTTTCCGCCATAGGCTGTAGTATCTATTACAAACGTCAAATACCAATTTTGAAACAATTCCGGTGAGTAATGTCGCTTTAATCACCAAAATACCGAATATGGGGAGGTACCATTATATGGGGGCTATAGGAAGGCGTGGACCTGCACAGACCATTTTCCGTCATAGGCTGTAGTATCTATTACGAACTTCAAATACCAAATTTGAAACAATTCCGGAGAATATTGTCGCTAAAATCATCAAAGTACTGAATATCGGGAGGTAGCGTTATATGGGGGCTATAGGAAGACGTGGACCTGCACAGACAATTGTTTGTTATAGGCTGTATTATTCATTACGAACCTCAAATACCAAATTTGAAACAATTCCGGTGAATAATGTTGCTTAAATCACCAAAATACCGAATATAGGGAGGTACCATTATATGGGGGCTATACGAAGACTAGGACTTGCACAAACAATTTTCCGTCTTAGGCTGTAGTATCCATTACGAACTTTAAATACTATATGACCCATTTTCAGTACCAAAAGATCTCAATTTTTATTTTAAATCTGCATAGAATTTTATGCTGATAAATATATACTTTGTGGGGTCTA